GGGCCGACCGGTTCTGGTCAAGTCAGCAAGTGACTTGACATATATCGAAACTAGGCTTTGCCAGTGAAGAGCTAAATTTGATACGGCTGAAAATTATGCTCAGTGCGCTGCAACTTCAAGCTTTTGTGAAAAATTATTGAAAGATCATGAGCCGACTTGTCACTTTCGTGACAGCAACTAACAGCGTCAGTTTCCATCCCTTTGGCTATCACTCGCAATGCAAAATAAGTGGTTCTCAACAACCTTCGCGTCAAAATTATTTTAACTATTTTGCTCCACAACACTGTTTAAGCTCTGGAGAGACCGCCAGCCCGAAAAGATCCAGTCGAAGGCTTGCGTGAAACCATGTGAATGAGAGAAGTTCAAAACGGAGAAGAATGAAAAAGCCGCTAGCTACATCAATGGCGAGCAGAAAGCAGCCAGCAAGTAAGCAAAGTCAAAAAAAAAGTGAAATCGTTTATACAACTGGACACTGTCAAACATCTTTTATTTTCTCAGCAACATGTGTTGAGATACAAAAAACTTAAACTTTGCCAAAAGTTGTCTAAATCAAAAACTGCAAAGCTGCTTTTGTGACATCAGTAATTTTGCTTCTGAATTTTTTGGCACACAGAATGTTTTCCGGGAAGAAAACCTCATAAAATTGCTACTAAATTTAGCAGATCCATTGTTTTGATAGAGTATGAAGAAAAACCCGTTTGATTTTCGCTTATCTGTTTCTTGTTCATTATCAACGCCATCGTTATTTAACAACATCAGCAGAACTCCCCAGCGTCTGTCTCACTTTCCCGCTCTGAGCTAGTTTTCATCTCATTTCGCTGAGCTATGATTTTGATATTTCGTGTTTTTTTTTTGTGGATCTGACGGTTTTGGCAACAAAGAAAAGCTGTTTCTTTCACTTTTGCTGAATCATGAAATTGAATCCAGCACTGCTCATTCATGCATCCAGTTTTCTTTCACGGTTTTGAGACCGCTATAGCAAAAAATGGCGGTTTGCGGACTCGAAGTGTTGTTTCGGCAAATTTGAAATTAAAAAGAAAAACTTCTTGTCGGTACTAATGAAACCAAATTTTGCTCATTTATTCTCAATCAATACTGTCAAATATCTTTAAAAATTAACATGAAAATGCTGGATTTATATATATATATAGCCACTTCAAACTGTTCTTATATTGCGCGTTACTACTTCAAGGTACAATGCAGTGAGTATAAATCATTTTCAAGGTCATAAAGGCAATAGTTTTTCATTCTTCCAAATACTGCTGACTAAGAGGAAAGCGAGCAACATGTCTGGCTTTTAGAATTTTAATTTAGACTGCAGTAGGAAAAGTCTGGCTACATGGTCCTGAATATAATTATGCATCTCTGAATTGCACGATTATGTTCTTTGAGATTATGTGATACTGGGTTGTTGGAGTACACGAAATAAATCACTATGATACAGCCAGATCATATTAGAATTTGGTACTAGAGCTGAAGAATGCGTTGAACCATTTCAAAGACTTATTGCCATTACCAACATTTTCCTCCCAGCCAATGAGTCACCTCATTAAAGTTTAGGAATGATAAGGTGGCGATATGCAACATACAACGACATCTCGTAATGTTTGAAACCTTACCAGATTATTTTTCCAGAAAAACTGTTAAGCTAGTACTCTGGTTAAATAGATTCATGTTTGCCAGCAGAATGACCAATGGGACGATGTAAAATTGGTCAAAACAAAATCGAAAAAATTGCAATTAAAGAGGTCTGCATTTTGAGTATAAAATGATAGCTGTTCCTGGTATTCAGGCATGTATTATCGAATTCGTGGTCATTAACATTTGTCTTTTTTATGAATAAGAATTGAAAGGTAACGCATTGATAAACTCCATTGGACTAATTTAGGAAATCAGTGAAAACCAAATTTTAGTAGTTCATTCCATGAGCTCTTTGCCATGTATTGGACAAGGAGCCGACATGGAATCAGACTTAGGAATCAGACATAGGAAGGATACTGTAATCGCAGCCTGTAACTTTTGTTAAGTCACGATTCAATGTCGGCCATATTTACTCAGTTTTTCGTGGAAACTTGACTAGTTTATTATGATCTACGGAAACAATCAATACAGCAGGAGCAGAATGTTCACCTGAATTAGTGGAACATGGGAAGTGTCGCTCAATTTCCACTGAAATATCGCTCCGTGACGTTGAAAATGGTGTACCAATTCTTTCAATTCTGGTATCGGCAATGGCAGCAAGAATGATTACAGCAGTAATGCACAGGAAAAGTTGTTGCCGCCTTGTCAGTAGTAACCAGGACGACATCTGGCGGCCGGCACAGCTTCCACGATTACTTGATTTTAGTTTTCCTGTTGGAGTACCGTCCACAGAGCCCCTACTGAATAGCAGTGAAAAAAAAAAATTAAGACGTTCAGATGATACTGCAACTGGCAATGGTACTGAATTAGGATGATTATGATGAGCGGTATAAATAATTTCACTGATTAATTGCTGATAATAAAGATAGTGGCAAACGCGCTAACGTTGTTACTACTGACAGTAATAACGATATCGGACAGACAACGATATTAGAAACGTGAAGAGAGGGCGATGACGATAATCGTA